ATAACTAAAGAAAAAAATCTAAAGAAAAAAAAGATAACTAAATTAAAAAAAAAAAATCTGAAATTTGAGGGCATAACAAAACAAAGACCTGCAAATTTTAATTAAACAAATCTTAAAACATTTAAAATACAAACTGGTATCCATCTGAGTGACTATAAAAGACCAGGTTAAAAACCAAGCAGTGCGCAAACATGGACTGTTTATTTTACAAAGAACAAGATATCCAGAAAAAGAAAGGGGAAAAACAACACTAAAAATCCCAAGAAGGGCAGAGAAACCTCTGTGTTGAGCCAACAGGGACACAGAATTATAAAACTCCAAGTTTTCTCACAGATTATACAAAAGGGCTAAAACTTGTTTTGAAGGCATAGCTTTTGACTATCCTCTGCTCTGAGAGGTGGGGGAGCAGGAGGTGTGTTACAATCCTGAAGATGCTAAAAATCCAAGAAGAAAGGCAGTATGATTCATTAATATAATAAAATTCCAGGCCTACCCCAATCTATAGGGAGGGAATAAACTAATATTGAGTAGCTAGTTGTTACTATAATTAAGTTTGTTGTTTTGCTTTTTTGAGACAGGGTCTCGCTCTTGTCACCCAGGCTGGTGTGCACTGGTGAAATCATGGCTTACTGCAGCCTTGACCTCCCATTCTCCAGAGATCCTCCCACCTCAGCTTCTCAAGTACCTGGGACTATAGGCACCTGTCCCCACATCCAGCTAATTTTTAAAATTTTTTGTAGAGATGGGGTCTTGCCATGTTGCCCTGGGCTGTCTCAAACTCCTGGTTTCAAGCGATCCTCCTTGGCCTCACAAGTACTAGGATTACAGACTTGAATCATTATACCCAGTCACTTTAATTTTTTCTCCTCCCGCTCCCCCCTAGTCAACCATTATTAGCTAAATGGGGAGTATCCTGTCTTGGCTCTTTGTAATCAATAAAACCCAAATTTTAATTCTCCTTCAGCGCAAGTAGTTAATTCTAGATTCTCTTCCATTATTTTAAGTAGAGATTGTTTTGATATTAATTTCTCAAGGCCAAAAGAAAGAAAATTCCCTTATCAACCCCAATGTAGAACAATTTAGGTGCAGGATGACAATTCCACAGCGATAGCCACATTATCAGGGAGAAACCAATTCAAGCAGAAAGGCAGGCTCAGAAGAACAGAGAAAGGAGAGTAACAGGCTGCATCTGGCTATTGCCATCAATTGAGGAAAGAATGAGAACGTGGTATTGAGTTCCGAGACATGCACTTGGGCAGGTGAGGGGAGAATAGAAAGAAAGGCAAAATACCTGCGGCTACAGCCACTTCCAAATAATTTAGTTTAAATAGGCTTTTGAGGCATTTCAGTTTGGAAAACTGATGGGGAGAGGAAAAGAAACAAGGTTTTGCATGTGGTTAAGTATCACATAAAACATTAGTTTGGGCAAAATCATACATCTGCTATTCAGCAGATAATTCCTTTACATCTCATTCAATGAAAATACTTGTTACTAGAGAGAAACAAGGAAGTCCATGTGCAACAACCCACAGGCTATCAAATTTCCAGAGGTTCAGGGGGAATTTTATTAATACCTTTTAAAAAGCTAAGTAATTCTTTTAGCTTAATCATCATCACCTCTGTAAGTTACAATAGCTATCAATTTGCCAAATTATCAAAAGCAACTGGAACTGATTAAACCTTCATGACAATAAAATCAGATGAGGGGCCAAAGTTCACTGGGACTCTAATATCACTGGCACTGGTCTCCCTTGAGTCAGGTTTGTTGTTTTTAAGCCACCTGAAACCTTAAGTAAACAAATCTAACTGCCAATGAAAACTAACACACCCAGAAACTCTCAGCGAAACGTTTACTTCATAGTTCATAATACAGACCTGTCCTATTCCATCTACAGGTGGCCTTGCCTGGAGGTAAAGGTCGAAAGAAAACACTTCCTAACACCTT